TTTCATTAATATACTCCCTGTTTTAATCTGATTTAGCATGCATACATTATCAAATTAATGTCCATTAAATCCTGGAATCTATCTAGGCATGTATAGAACACGAATCTAAGGGAAGGAGCTAGAAGTAAAACTTTCCTCTTAAGGTTTCGGTTTGAATCCTTTAACCGTCTTCTTCCTAGGTTTTCCGGCAACCTTGGTTGCCATCACACTCTCTTTGTTGCTCCTAGTTTTACCCACGAACAAACTTCCAACTTCCCTCTTTGACTCGACCCTTGATTCTCGGCCAAATCCTAGTTTCCTCTTTCTCTATTTTCCTCTGTTTCTCTCTACCGCTACTATGACGTGAATAGGGTTCTTGAAACCCTTTCACAGACTTATGCAATATATTTATAAGTTAATATTAACCCTAATCCTATATTAACATTAAGTCTACCAACTTAAGAAATAAAATAAAATACAAAAGGAAAATAAATTATATACACAAATATATAATCTAATAATTGTATATAAATATCATAAACCTTAATATATATATATATATATGGCATTATTAATATTTATTAATAATTTTAATATTAATGGATGGATAGTTAGGTATATATGTATGTGTATATATATATACCTAACTATCCATCCATTAATATTAAAATTATTATTAAATATTAATAATGCCATCCTTATATATATATATATATATACACATACTCACATATATATATACAACTATCCATGGGTAATCATCTATACCCATCAGACCTCATATCCAAGTAGTCTATGTGACCCAGTTGGTTGGTCCATTACTACTATCCAAATCCATACTTTAAAATTAAAATAAAATAAAATAAAACATAAAGCAATTATATCATTTAATCCTAACAATTTAATTATAATTAAACCACATATCATTTAACACCCAATTAATCAAATAAATCACATAAGCAATTAAAACAAATAAGCATATAAAATAAAGCCACATACGCACATAGCCACGTAAGCACCTAAAATACAAAAAATAAATAATTAAATCCCTTTTATATCCTTTTGAAAACTAGGAGTATTATAATTTCATGAATTTATTCCTCAAACAGTTGGTTCTCAGATTCTTCAGGTGAAGCTTAAATAATTATTGTAAGGTCGTGTTTGGTACTAAAATCATTAGAGAAAGATCTTTCCAATTAAGGGCAATTTGGTAATCTTACATCTCCAGTGACCTCCAGTGATAGCAATTTTTGATTTTGTCCTTAAAGTGCACTTTTTTGATAGTTTAGGGGTACTCTTAGTTCAGGGGAGTTTTGTGGAATTGACTAATAGTTTAGGGGGGTTATTTGCAATTTATCCTATATACTACAAAACACCAATAACTTTTAGATCAAACACATTACAAATCACTTGTTAGATACCTTTATGGAAGGGTTTAAACCCTGAGAGATGCATAAGCGAACAAATGGTCGCTGACGATGAACAACAGATCATATTGAAGGCAATGAACGAAACGGTGATGACACAGAGATGCCGTTGACAATTGGACATCAATCGATATCGAACGCAACTATACATTTATCAATGCGACATTAATCGCTAGGATTTATAGGTCTTCGAGGGTTTGGTAGAGAAATGGACTTTACATATTTTAGGTGCGTTTTGATACGTGGGAGAAAAAAAGAAAAGAAATGGTAGCATTAGTTAGGAGAAAAAAAAAAAAAAAATCTATTAATGGATAGATAGAAAATAAAATAAATAATAGTATTTTTTATTTGGATATGATATAGGGGAGAAAAGAAGAGAAAGGATATCAATTAAATTACTATCATGTCTTTTAAAATATATGGGATATGAGTGGAATAATAATCTCCTTCTTTTAATTTTTTAGGGCGGTTTTGGAATTATGAAAATACTACTAAAGCACTATCCTTTCTCTCCCTATCTTCTCATTTTTATTTTCTCTCATTTTAACCAAACTAAACACAATTTACATTATCATTTCTTTTCTTTTCTCTCACTGTTCCTTCAAATCTCTCAATCCAAACATACAATGTGCAGAGAGAGATAGAAATGGACTCTTTCGCGTGTACCTTTTTTAATTTCCAGAAGAGGAGAGAGAAATGAAATGAGCTGTTAGATAAGACCCGTATACTAAGGGTGAGGTTACATAGCCTCTACGAAGCTAACCAAATGATTATCCTTCACGGGTGTCTTTCCGGACTCAGAACCACTATCAATGATATTTTTACACATCACACATGCGACTTTTTCAAAAAACACACTTTTAAGTAAGTGGATATTTTTTTCCCTTTTTTGACACCGAAAATTATTTTTCGTGTCAAAGTGGTATTTTTGGTCACTTTTGATACATCAAAAATCCACTTTTAAGTAAGTGGTCATTTTTCTTACAAAAATAGTTATTTTCTACTACTTTTGGTACAAAAACACTTTTCAAACACAAAGTGATCATTTTGATTATATTCGGGTCATTAAAAACTACTTTTCTCCAATTCAAGTATTCCTACAATACTCAACCATGAGCACCATAAGCTTTGCGAAATGATCAAGAACCAAACAAACCCTTAGCATGATTCAGCGAGTGACTTATAAAGGGAAATCTTAGGCTGGGCTGAACCTCCCTCTGAAACCAAAGCGCACAAGTAAACTATAAACACCCACTCTCACAAACTTTGCGAGATCAGCTACAAGATTAAGACGTTCGGTGCCCACACTTTTTTGAACACATGAGGAGAAGCATCTCACACCTAGTGCTCATTTCTTTAAGATCACATCGACCTGTGCAGAAATGAACAAAGAACAGTTTTAGGAATTACATAGAGAAATTGGACTCGATAAGCAGGATGAAATACCTTCTTTCATTTCTTCGCATCAACACCCCCAATTTTAAGCTGGGAAAATTTGTACGAAGCCCTTCTCTAGTTCCCACTGCTCTTTCTTTTATTGTTCAAACTCTAAACCAAGTCAAAATCGGTCAATGTCACTAAACATCTTGTCAAAAAGAGTTTCGTTATTTCAAATAAAGATCAATTGTCAGAGTCATTTCGCATCATTTACAGTACAAAATTATGCATTTTCATTTCATTTGCATTAAAAGAACAAAAACATGCAGAAGAGATAAATTAAAAGAGCCAAGCCAAAGAAAAAGGAGACGACTAAAAAAAAAGTGATCAAATCAAATCAAAGGCTCGTTTAAGTTGGAAGGCTAGTCAACTCAAGTTATTTGAGATACCTTCCCACCTAATGTCCTAAAATCATCTAGTATGTTTTGAATAATAATGAAAAACATGTTTGGTAACATTCATTTGTTACAAGATTTTTGGAAGTAAAAACATTAAAACATGTTTGGTGAGAAAGTGTTGCAAGTTTGAAAAATATAATGATTAGTTTAAAAAGTCATTTAAAAGTTTTTTTTTTTTTTTTTTTCCGTTGAATGAAAATTAGATAGATTAACTACTCTTATTATAAGTGTGTGTGTGTATATATATATATATATAAAGTCTGACATTATATTTTTTAGCACAATTGATGACGCTTGAGGGATATTTAATCATTCATTAAAAAAAAAAAAAAAATTAATCCAATGAATGGCATTCTGTTTCCATGATATCCACTGAGCTTCACAATTCTCAAATTTAAGTAAAAACAATTAAAACATGATATGAAAGCTCTGTGTAATTGGGAAAAATTAATTAAAAATTAAAAGTTAAAATTAATATTTTCATAAACTAGGAACTCATGTCTCATTATATATATATATAATGATAGGTCTTGTCCTTTCAGGCCAGAAAATTGAATGAGGAGGGGCACACCCAATTCCATCAACAGTAGCGGTTCAAGTTAGTGAAGTTATTTCATTGTAAAGGAATTTGGAAAAAGGTAGAGGGCTTTTTGAGTTTCTCTATCGGATGGGTCATTCTTTTAGCAAAAATTATCAACTTTAAAATAACTTTAACATTAATTGGTAATTCCATTGAATACAAATCCCTATGAATAATGAAACATTTTTATATTTATCATATTAATAATTAGTTTTTTCTTTTTTATTTATTAATAATTAGTTATGCTCAGTAGGGGGCTACCATACTAGATTGCATAAACAAACTTCTTGTCTGGCCCAACTAATTTGGTCCGAAAAAGTCAATTAAAAAAATTGGGCCAGTGGATAGTCTGGTTGTAGGGATTTGAGTCGCCAGGCCCCAATCCAGAAGGTAATTGGCCCACAAGGCCGATCTCATGGAAATAACAAATTATTGTTAAGAATGGACTTTTTATTTTTTATTATTATTTTTCTTCTGGAAAGTCTTATTTAACCATTAGCATTTGGAAATCAATAAGTGATACGGAGTAATTAAGCAGAACTTTCAAGTGTGCATGCAATAATTTCATGATGAGTAAAGTTACATGTTTGTAGTTTGTACTCACTTCCATTGTGTCAAGTTCTTGCCTATGTAAATCCAACTTAAATTATGCCCTAATCTTTTAATTGAGTCATAATCTTTGGACATGCCCTAATTAACGTTGGGCTTTTTGCTGGGTGCATATATATCTTTGAATCATTGAGAACTTGGCTCTAATAAAAATACACCATTCATGTTGGATATACTACAAGAAAATTGAATTGTTAAGACTTGTAATTGACGACTTGTATAAAAGACAAGTCGTGTTAGTATTAATTTAAAACTTATAATCTAGAGTATGTCCTTAAATGTTAAAACACAATTATATTCACGACTTACACTTATTTAATCATTCAAAAAAAAATTTAATAACCTACATTATTTATTTTAATTACTTATTTGTTAAGTTATGTATATTGGGGCGAAATTTTTTATTTCCCTGTTACAATGACTTATGGAAAAATAGTTTACACTTGTTTGTCTATTCAAATTTATTTTAATAACTTGTATTATTTATTTTAATGACTTGTCTATTCAAATTACTTATTTTTATTTGTTAAGTCGTGTATACCTGGCAAAAAAATTTATTTCCCTCGCACAATGACTTTATGGAAAAATAATATTTCCCGCTTCATGCCAGCTAATACGGGATCTTAGCACCCAAATCTTCCACCCAAATTAAATCATTTCCATCTTCCTAGTGTGTCTAAACCCTAATAAGTTTCAGCTATTATTCATAATCAATTTGCTTGGTCGTGGAACTCCAGTCGGCAAAATAATGGTCTTCCATGAATCTAAGCGATGAGTAACAAAGGTCTGCTTTCTCTCTCTCCCTCTCTCCCTCTCTTTAGGTTTACACTTCAACTACTTAACAACTGATTTTCTTTGTTTTGTTGTTTGGATCTATACTATTCGGTCTGTACTTCACAAATCTGCATATGGTTTCATTTGATCGATGATGGCGAATCTTTTAGCACAATTTCAGTCCATAAAGAACTCCTGTGATCATCTCGTATAGCAGGTAAATTCTAATCTCATTTCCCCTAATTTCTATTTCAATTTTTTATTTTCCTTTGATATTTGATTTTCAATTTTATCCAACAGATCTTATCTTTTGAGATTTCCATTGAAATTATGATAATAACCAATAATTCATGAACAACAATCTCAAATGCTTCTATTTCTAATTAAATTTCAGAGCTCTTTCTTTTCTTATCTGAATCATACTTGAAATTGGGTCGTCTCTGCAAAGACCAATTGATTGGTTTCCTTTGATATCTTTAATAAGAAAACCAAATTAATTGAAAAATAATGAACACTAACCACATGCACTTTTTAATTCCGTAATGAACCTGGAAAAAGACTTTCAGTTGATATGTCAATTCAAGAAACATTTCAATATATGGCTAAATTTTTCTTTTTGCAAAAATTAATGGGTTATCTTGCATTTAACGTAAAAGATATAGTACAAAAATCACAAATACAAGAATAATATTTCTATGTTCTTAAACCCCCGTCTCACATAAATGCTGGCACACGACGACGTGCCGACCCCCGACCCGCAGGGGATCAAAGCTTGCGAGTGGGTTTCTTCCTCAACCCCATGGGAAAAAGGGAAGGGGAAAAGACTGCGGCGCGACAATTGTGAATAAACTTTAGTATTTTAATGCACATTTATTTGATTCTTGCTTCACCATATTTTGAAGTATACATTTTAATCTTTTGGGCGCTCACTGTTATGAATTTGATGAATTCTTAAGTAACTCAAATCTCTCTCATCCACACATCATATCTCCCCACTTAGCAAAGACTCGTTCTTTGCTTGGAACTGGTGATATTTAAAGAAGCTTAAATGGTAACTAATATGATAGAACTAATGATGTAGAAAATAGTAACTTGATATTGGTTTGCATTTATATTCACGTAGTATTTGGTGTTTTCTCATATGTGATGTTGATGCTATCACATTATCAGTTTTTCTTGTGGCATTTGAGTCGTGTATAAAGGATCAACCATGTGTGGTTGGTTAAAAAATGCATTGATTCTCTATAAAATTAGAACTCAGCACAAAAGGTCTAGTAACTAAGGGCGACATCTCAGCACATTATGGATGCAATTTCATCATGACTATGTAGAGATAACTGATCTTTAGTAAAGCCCAGTCAATCAGTTTTATGTCACCCAATGTTTTTGATTGATGCTATATACAGATGGGTTCATTGTGCATACAAGCTTCCTATTTTATTTGTATTATTAAGAGAGAAAAAGAAGTAAATTGATACTAATAGAGCTTTGTATTTAATTTCCCAAAAAAAAAAAAACTTTGTATCTGGGTTTATCAAGAACGGTAGTGTACAAGAAAAAGAAAGTAATTAATGTATTGTTATTTGATTGGAGAGTGCAAATTCGAATTCACTGATTACAAAAATAAGAATAATAAAATAAAATAAAATTAGAGGCCAAATGTTTACCGTTCAAAAAAAATAAAAATAAAAATAAAAAAACACTATCTTATCATTACCACCAAGACCATATAGCTCTACCAGTATCTCATTTGTTTTGGAAGTGGAAGGCTGAATTAATGTTCAAGTTCTCGTATGGATTATGAATTTGTGCGTTTGTCCTTTCACTTTTGATATATAATATATATATATATTTAATCTTGGCAATTAAACATATAGTTTTGTTCAAGAGTGACAATAGTTAGACCTTCAACTTTTATTTTGAGAGATAGATAAGATACCATTGAATTAGGACCTTGGACCTTGGTGATGGAAAGGATATCAAGATTAGTATTATTTGAGGGGTCAACAAACCTCTCCTTCATTTTCATTTTCATTACCTTTATCTTCTCATTTTTTAAAAGTAAATATGATGCAAGTTCTCGCTCATTTATCAATGGGGCAATTAGCCCAGGTGTTCATAAGCTCTCCTCCCCAAATGGGGGAGGTTGAGTTGAGTGTGTTTTAAAAAAAAAAAAAAAAAGGTGTTCGAGTCTTGACGGAGACATAATATATAGTGGGTTTTGGTATTTGCTTGAACAGTTGAACATTCGAAAGAAAAATTAAAAGCTCTCCCTCATTTTCCTTATCTACATGAAGCCTAAACTTTTAGCACATTCTACTAGAAGCGTTTTATAAACTGGTTTAGCTAAAAAGAAAAAAGAAAAGAAAAAAAAAGAAAAGAAAAGAAAAGAGAGAGAGAGAGAGTGTCTTTATAAGCTTAATCTTTCAAGTTCTTGAGACAATTAATTGCTGCAGACCTTCCAATATAGGTTTAATGAGCTACCACTCTCGAACTTAGTTTTTAGAAAACAATGTATTAATTTCCACTCCTTGGCACGATAAATTTTCAGAATTTTTTCAAACATCCTAAAAAAATCATGTTTTTTTCACCAAAAAAGGTCTTTTAATCATTCAATCAGCTGCAATCAAACCGGTTCTGGTCGGCTCAATCAGGTAGGAATGGTGCTCGGTTCGATAGCTCGAATAGATCCAAAAAAATCAAACGAATCGCATATACGAACTTAAAACACAATCTGTGTACTTAGTATGTGTTTGTCTGTGTATATATGAGTATAATTTATATGAGTATGTATCGTACCTGTTTTTTTTTCTTCCTTTTCTTGCCCTTTTCATTTTCTTGTTATGGTGTATATGGAAGCAACTTATGCCCTTATCCCACTGCTTAATAAATTGGATAACAATATTGTTGTTAGCTTTTAATTAATTTTTATTCTATTTTTATGTTGCACAAAGAGAACAGTGATACATGCAAGATGTCTAAGTAGAATTAAGATTATGATCTTTTTTTCCTACTTTCTTATGATTTGATATATATGATGAAGATGTTAGGCAGCTTAACGCACTTGGTATTCACGTACTGTCTAAATTTGTTGTGGATTGAGTTTATTATATCAATTTTAAGTTTAGTTGTCTGAAGGACACTGTGTTGCTCATTAGTAGGTCTTAAATGTTTTTTTAATTGTTTCATTCACAGCAGTCCAAATATGGATTGCTGGTGATATCTGAAATGTGGAAAAAAAGAAAGAAAAAAAAGGAGATTAGGCAGCAATTCTCGTTATTGATGTTTGATGTCAGTTTTCATTTCTGGTTTGCTTTTTATTCTCACTCTTTTAAGCTTGTTTTCATCCAGTGTTTCAGACATTTTTCTGAACAGGTGTGTAATTATGTTCGCATGTTTCAGAAGCAAAGTAACCTGACATGGATCTTGTGAGGTGATTTAAATAACTCTTATTGGAGGACAAAAAATGAGAAAAATCAACTAAGATAGATTGTTATTAGCGAGGAACAGCATCCACATTGAGGGTAATTTAAGGGAAGGGGAAGGGAAAGACCACAACTGACATGAACTGAGATAGTAAGGAAAGATATGATGGTATGTAATTCAATTGAGTTGATGGCCTTAAATAGAGCTGTGTTTTCAATGTAGGATTTATGTAGCTGATACCAAGTATTTAGGAAAAGTCTTTGATGAGTTGAGTATTCCTCTTTTGGTTAACACATGTAAACACAAACTCAATTATTAAATGTGAACCTATAATCTCTGGAAGCATGAGTGTCTCTCATAGTGTTATGTAAAATTGTGATGAATCAAAAGTTCTTTTCAATTCTATAGCTTTCGTATGTTGTCTACATGTGTGCATATATGAACTTTGGATAATTTGCCTGCCCGTATAGAATTCACTATTGACTATCTATGCATTAATAATATCAGAAAATGCGGACAATTTTTGTTTCGCGGGTTAGGAAAACAAATTGCATATAAATGTCATTTTGCATAAATTATAATGCTGGGATTGGTTCTCATTCTCTCTGATGTGGTTTGTCTGCTCATTAGTATAGGGTCATAAATAATTAGAATATGGAGAAGTCATTCTCCAATTTACCTACATTTATTGTTTTCCTAGGATTGAAATTTTTTAAATTTAGTTATTACATAAAATGTTATGAATTTATTTGCAGGTTTTTGGATAGGATTGGAGTGATTTTAGCTTCTAAAGTGGATTTGTTCATTATTTGAAGACAAATAAAGCTTCAAGTTAAAGTGAATGTTTGTTCTAAAGTTGTAATGCCTATGCATTTCTCATGGTTGTTCGAGTGTTTTAGTTGGTGGTTCTCTTTTGTAAATCTCATTAATGTAATTAATTAATTTATTGATGCATTAATTGAAATTTAAATTTGTGGGAATTGTTTACCCATTTTCAATTAAAGTATTAGTTTGATAGAATTTAGTGGTTTAGTTTTTTATTTCTTAATGAATATATTATTTTAATGAAGAATATTTTTGTTTTCTCGTCAAAAATCAGATGAAGAACTTTGAATATCAGAAATTCTTGAAGGGTAAATTAGTCAGTTTGAAGTGGAAAAGCAAGCAAATTTGGTCTACAAAGCTGTTTGAATAGCTAAAAGCCAGAACTATCATGTATGGGCAAATTCGTAAAAAAGGTCATTGACCATCATTTCATGCCCGGCTCTCTGTAAACACATGGTAATAACGGCAGACTAAGACGACCATCATTTTCATGGCCAGCTAACACTTCATCTCTGTAAATGCATGGTAATAACAGTAGCTGCATAGGTGCAGCGGACTATGGTAATAACAGTAGCTGCCCAGGTGCAGCGGACTAGGACAGAGATGAGAAATTATCATATCAAATATTTGATTGCATGACAGCTTGTGAATAAAGTGGGACGGTCCCGGACCAAGTGATTGGGACCATATATTTAATAATTTCACAAAATTAAGGATGATAAATATATAAATAGGTATAGGATATGTGAAATTGATCAGGTGCATGGCAGAATGGGTGTGTGTGTGTATATATATATAGTGTTGGTTATATGCATGTATATGACTATTGATAAATATACATTGATATATATTTTTCGTAATAAAAGATGAAAAATATAAATTGATAATTTACAGATACATGCGTAGGTAACATATATGTGTTTCCATGTTGCCCTAGGATAACGTGTTTTTCCATGTTGCCCTAAGATAAAATATTTTTCATACATTGATAATTTACGGAGAATTGGTCAAACTATTATATTCTCAACTATAAATGATATATATAGTTCATAAAACAATGTATGCTCAACTTAATTACATAAGATTAACCTTCTTTCTTTTTGACTGCCAGATGTAATAAGTAAACCGAGTGGCAGTTAAAAACAACTTTAATTTTTATTTTTATTTTTTTCAATAATTAAGAATAACAACTTTTGGTGGGACGAACATGTGATGGAATATGGTGTGACGTTGACATTAAAAGAGATAGAGAGAGAGATATTGGTGGTTATTTTTAAATTTTTTATTTGTTGGTGTGAATTCGTAAAAATTGTGCATAGGATAAAATTAAAAGATATATATATATATATATATATATATATATATATAGATGGACCATTGTATTTATTGAAACATGTGTAACACAGGCGAGTCATGTTTCACTCAGATAGATTAGATTACATGCATACGTAAACTAAATTAAACCCTCTTAAGAGGCAATGTAGTTATTCTGTTTTCATAATAAAAAAATTCTCTCTAAATGTAATTTAGGGCTTAGAGTTCTGAATGCTGTTATGTGAAATTATTACACAAAACCATATGTTTCCGGCTAATAACTAATTGACACGCAAGAATAAAATTGCTAGAAATCCATTTTTGAACAAGCAACCCAGATATATAAAAATCACTGCACCTATCGACTGTTCTTCGCAGTACCAAATTGTAGTTCTTCAAAGTCAGAAAAAGCTAAACTTTGATTATTTTTTTCTTTTTCTTTGGTGAGTATTAACTTCTCTGGTTAGTTATATATCTTTTGATTAATACAAACTGATATAAATGCATAAATTCAGCAGATTCGTGATCTAATTTCCTCTAACAGAACTGATTTGGTGGGGGGCATTGTCCAAATTGAGTGAAGTAGATTCAAAGTAACCTCAAATATGATAATGGGGAAAAATGAGTTAGTACTATTCAACAACTTTCATACATTGTTCTCTATGATATATGCCCTTACTTAGTAAGGGTTGAAGAAATTGGCATCTAAACTTCTGTTCACCACATTCCACACACCTCCAGCAACTATCAAGACGCTTAACGTCACGCCTAAACAACCAAGCCCTAAGTTAAGGCACCACATTGCACCATGCGGACGGGGTTTCTTGATCGCCATCCCCATTACATTGTGTGTATATATATATATATACACACAATGTAATGGGGATGGCGATCAAGAAACCCCGTCCTATATATATATATATATATGCCTTTTTTAAATGATCACATTCACATTTTGTGTGAGTCCACTTCTGCAATGCTGCCTTTACCTAGTCTCGGGGGGGGGGGGGGCGCTCACACTAGGGAGCAGATATTCTCTGTAGGTCAAAGATTTGATGTTTGAGTTGCTGCCAAAAGTTATTTTAATCGCTTATGTACCCTTTCTCCCTTTTTTAATCATCATCTCCTTCTCATAACAAGTGGTGCACTCTCAAGTTCGCAATTCCAAATAAATATGGGGCAATTTGATATTTTAATTCTGTGTTTAATTATGAATAGAACTTGATAACTCAATTTGAATATTACTAAAAATGATAACTTAAAATTAGATAAAATTTTAAATAATAAGAATATATCACGGAATACTAAATACCGAAAATTCAAAGAAATATAAAAAAATATTTATAGTCAATTACTACTTAAAAACTTCTCCATTTAAAATTTAGCTCTTAAAATTTTCTCTACTTAATTTGTAATTTTATCAAACAACAAGTTTTCATTATATTAAGCAACGACGTGTTTTCTATGTATAATTTCTTAATAAGTAGTTTGTAATGTCTCTTAAAACAAATACAGACCTGCATTTTATTATTATTGTTATTTTGACAAAATTTGCACCTATCTCTATTGATAAAGAAATAATAAAAATTGTAAAAATATAAAATTTATAATAAAATTAAAGAATGATAAGTTTCAATGTAATTTTGCAGTTTTACTCATTTGATTAAACTAATCACGATTTTTCAAATGAGACACTTTTTTTTGGCATGGAGAAAATACTATATACAGAACAGTTGAATACAGTTAAGCTTATAAGCTGTCCAAAAGGTCCACTAACAGTCTACACAACCACTAGCATTTAGGAGATTATCGCAAATGCATGGACCTTGTGGGCCCATATATCTTGTCGTAGTTCAATGGATTAAAATAATGACAAATCTTATCAAGATCTCCATGGGATAAAGATGATGAAATTCCCTTATCAAGAATAAGGGAAGCGACGATAAATAGGACGACGACTCGGGAATAAGGTACGACGAAAAAACTATTATTAAATCCCTGCCTTCCCTTTTAGACCTCTGGTGATTAACTTGATCGTCGGAGAGCTCTTGGCAGGCACCATACCGGTGCTGTCAAGGTTCATCGATTTTCTTCTCTTTCCCTTGAAGGTAAACGGTGTCGTATCGGACCGTGCTGATTTCACCCTCAACAGTTGGCGCCGTCTGTGGGAACGACGATTCCATTTAATCAATTAATTACTCGGTTGGGTATATACGTTTGCGGTCCGGTATGGTTACCGAAGGAACACCGTTGCAGGGATCTGGTCAAAGGGTAGAGTCGGGTGAAAACCTAGACGTCCCAAACAACCAGACACAGCTTGCAGCGTTGGAACTGTAGATCCAAACTCTGAGTCAGAGAATGGACCAGTTGATCCAGCAAAATGCAACGCTCTTGCAACATCTTGTTCTATCGGTTCAACAAAGCTTGCCACAACAAGATCTCTCAAATCCAAACGGAGGGAATGGTAATCTTGCAAAGCAGGATAATCATCCCTCCCAAAATGAGACCGAAGTGGAACAAAGCTAGGTGGGAAACCGACATAGAGAGGTGGTACACCCATCTCTTCCACGGAATTCCCGACCTTAGGAAGGCACAGCTTTCTGTCTTAAGGAAAAGACAAAGAAAATTACCTATTTCGACCTGCAGGTCGAGGATCTCAAGGGGAAAATAGAGGGTGTAATGCAGGCTATGAAAGGGAAAGGTCCTGCAGCCGTAAATGACCTGGTACAAAGGACCCACTTGCCGTTCAACCCTGCCGTTATGAAATGACCACTGCCTAGCAAGTTCAGGATGCCTTCATTTGAAAGCTTCGATGGGACCAAAGATCCCCTCGATCACTTGGAAATCTTTCAAGCTCTTATGTATTTATACGCCATACCAGACGAAATTATGTGCCGAGCTTTTCCCACTACACATAAGGGATCAGTAAGAGTTTGGTTCAACAAGCTGAAACCAGGAACCATCAACACCTTCGAAGAACTGAGTAAGCAATTTGTGAGCCACTTCATTGTATGTTAGAGGCATAGGAGGCCAGCCACCTACCTGCTTACCGTGAAGCAGCAGGAGGGCGAGTCGGTCCTGGAATACATCACCCGATTCAACACAGAAATGTTGCAGGCAGAAGAGGTGGACGACAATGTGGCCTTGACCGCTTTCATAGGAGGACTCCAAACCTCCAGATTCTTATTTGCCCTATCCAAAAAACGTCCCACCAGCATGGCAGAGTTGTTGATCAGAGCGCAAAAACACATGAACGCTGAAGACGCTATGAATGCACGGAAGGAAAAGGAAGGAGAGGACAAGAAGAGGTCAGCCCCTCTCATCAGGGATGAGAAGGATACCAGTTATAAAAGATCATTCTTCAGCCAAAGCGATAGGATATATAGTAAGGAGGACTCAGATAAGTATACCGATTAACAATTGCCTCACAGCTAAAATTAGCCTTATCAAGTCATTCAAAATAAAGACTGGGGGCATCTCAGTTCATCATTTCACATGTTATTTTCCAATAAAGTCACCATCACCAATGAGGTGGATGACCCTCAATTTTTACACAATAAAATATTATATTTTCAGTTCCCTACTACCTGTGTGGTAATATTAAGCCCGT